AACCCAAACCAGTCTGGGATTCTATGAGGGGCATGAGGGAGCTGACCTGCTCTTGTGCCTGCAGGTTGCCCGTCCTTTCCCAAGCTGCGTGTTGAAACACAAAGGCGGATCCCATGTCTTTTCTTGTAAGTAAACCCGAGCGGATTAGGGTGAGTGTTGAACACCTTCCAGCTTCCCTCAGCCGTGTCTGTAGAGCTTGCTTTGTGCTTGTGCAGAGGAGCTGCAGCAGGGCTGGCCTCCTAGAAAGCACCTGAAAGTCACATTAAAACCTGCTAATTATAGGGCAGAGCATCTATCTGCTAATTAAAAAAACCTTGTGTTGAAGTATTTATTGCTTGCATGTGTTGAAGCATTTATTGCTTGTACATCTGTGCCTCCTCTGTGTGCAGTGCAAGGGGTTTGTAATTGGGCATCACAATTAAGCAAAAGTGACATAATGATGATTCTTTAAGAAGTTACTGCCTCACCTGTGTGGCACCCCTGACAGTTTGTGTTTTTTTCCCTAAACTTGGCTTTCCAAGCTAAACACAACAGCTTTGTTTAATTTTGCATTTTTAAGTGAGGAAGTTTCATGCAAGAAAACCTCTTTTACTGCCTTAAAATGGGGTTGTTATATATGAGTGTTGAGTCATTGTCACCTGAAGACTCGTTGGTGCTTTCTAGGACTGGCTTCCCTTGCGCTAAACAACGTAACCTGTTTTTTCAGTTATTTTACTGAGTAGACAGATTCTAAAGTGGGAGTGTTTATGATTGTTTATTTAATACTAACTTCATGATCAGTGCTTTGCAAGCCTAAAATTGCCTGTTCTATTGTGTGTTATATGTGCATGTATATATATTTCTCTTTGAATCACAGAGTTTAATAGAGTGGTAGAAACATTTCTCTGCACAGCTTAGTGCTTGCTGTGAATTTTAAGTGTTGATTCTAGAAGCGAATAATGGAATCACAGAATGGGTGGGAAGGGACCTTAAAGATCATCCAGTTCCAACTCTCCCGTGAGCAGGGACACCTTCCACTAGACCGGGTTGCTCTAAGCCTCATCCAACTTGGCCTTGGAGAACAACAGCTTTAAAATGTTTATGTTCTACTTTTGAATTCAGTCAAAATATTTTAAGTTCTCTAAGACATCGCCTCATCAGAAATAGTTGAAGCTTTTTTTACACCTGTTGCACCCAAACAAACTGTTATTTGCCTATGTAAGGGAGTTGTAGCATGCTTATTATTTTTGCTGTGTGTGCATGTATAAAGGTTCATGTTTGAATGATGTAAAAATCATGTTAACTTTATTTCAAGCGCATGCTGGTCAGGAAAAGCAGCAGCACCTGTGTGGTTGCTGGGTGGGTGCTGTTTTAGTGGCACGAGAAGAGAATATCCTTGTCCCAAGTAAGGATGTAACTCTGCTGTGGCAGCTAATCAGTTTCAGAGCACAGCAGAATCCTTCAAGTGTTAAGATTCTCTTATGTTTTTGGGGAGGGATGGGGAAAAGACACTTGTCTCTAGATGGAATAACTAATTATTTGGGGTATTATTTTTTTTTCTTCCAGCGGTGGGTGTCTGAAAAGTTCATTGTTGAGGGCTTAAGAGAGTTTGAACTGTTTGGAGGTAAGTTTTCCTCTGATTAGATGATGTTGTTAGAAATGTTTTATTTTAGCTGCAAGATCTGTTAATTTGTTTGTAAATAAGTTTCTTAACAGTAAAAGAGATGAATAAATGTAGTTGTAGCACCAGATCTGGTTACTCAAGCTGGTTTACCATATAAAGTTAATATGGAAGCATGCAAGTTATTTGGAAACGAATTTCATGTTGGCAGGACTGTTTTCAGACCCTATGTTCTGTATTTCTTAGCATAACCACTTTTTTTCCTATGCAAAAGCTAGATTTGGGGTTTGGGAAGGTTAATTATAATTTTGCAAGGAAAAGTGGATTTTGAAACTCTGGTGGTGGCTCCTCAGTGTGCCTGCAGGAGACCAGATTGGTGTTCTGTTTTGTGAATAACGAACAAAATTGCCCCCTAGGATGCAGAATTCTTGATCAGTGACATAGAAGGAGATCAGAGCATAGGAAAGGTGTCAGGAACTTGAGCCTCCAGTGGCATAGGAGAATTTTCACTCCTTTAAATAAAGTTTAGATAGTTTCTTCTGTATTTGAGTGAAGTAGATGTGTCATTTTTGATTGTGTTTAGAGGTCTGATAAAAAAATTTATCACATTTATGCTGAATATATGAACAGTAGCACTATTTGCAACCTATGTGTAGATTAAATGTCTTTGTTTTCAAAAAAACTTGTATGTATTTGGTATCAAAAAGTATCATGCAGGGTTATTTACTCAGTTTTCCAACTATATTTTGAACACAACATGGTGAACAATTAATTTCTTTACTCCAGAGCAGCCTCCGGGTGACTCTCGGAGAAAAGTAAGTGGCTTTTGCAGGCTGTGGTGCTGTGGTTCATTGCATGGAGATTATTCCTTGTGGAAGTTTGATTTTTTTTTTCTTTTTATCTTAGTTATATATATTTCATCTCTATATTTAGCTCTACAAGTGTGGAAACAGGTTTCACCCTGGAGTGGAGATTTTGGTGTGTGCTTTTCAAACTATATGTGACAAGTCAGAAACTTTAAACTTTAATCTCTTGGATTTGGATTTGTGTCGCTCGTCCCCACCCCAGTCTGCCAAGGGTCTCTTTTTGAGGTTGTTTAGATCTGATTTTTCAGAGATGCTAATCTCTTATAACTCTCTTTTAGAATAAAAGGAAGAAGTTTATTTATGGGACTTCCGAAAAATAGGCCCAAAAATTTTTATGTTGGCCATTCAAACACATTTATTCTGATTTTCTTTCTCTTCTCTGTTGAGCAGTCACAACAGAGGCTCCAATATCAAAACCAAACTTGATGTAATTTTCAGTTTGAGGTGACTTTACCTTCTCTAGTCTCGTCATCTTCAGAGCCAATTCCGTGCACGCTTAGAGAGCTTTGCCTCCTAAAAACTAAAATCACTAGCAAACGTGGAAAATCCATTGAAAAATGTACAGCCAAAATGTGGCAGCTGAAAATTTTACCTTGATGGTTTTTGTTGCACGCTCTTTGGTTCGTAATCAACAATGCTGACAGAATAACACAACTTGTGATAAAATATGTTTGTCTAAAAGATTTCCCACCTGCCCACACCATATTGAAACATTGCTGTGTGCAGGTGTTGCTCTAGTTTAAGCTAATTACAAACACAAATTAAATGTGTTTTGATTATAACTCTGTCAGTTCAAGCTGCTTATAATTGTTTTTTGTGCCAGTGTCTGTAATTTACTAGCACAAACAATGCTGAAAATGAGATGTATAATGGAATGTTTTGTATAAAGTCAAGTAAATTCACACATTTTTTTAAAATTGATGAGTATTACGCATATGCTGGCAGGAAATTTAGCTTAGCATCTGTTTTGGTTTTGTTACAGTATTCACTTGGGTTTGGTCACCTCTGCAGTGGTATTTGCTGACTGTCATCTTGATTTTTACATCTAAATAAAAGCTTTTTTCCAGCAGGGCTATAGAAAAAGGGTAAATAACTTGGGGGAGAGGGATGGGAGGAAAATTTTTGTTGCTCAGACTGAAAGTGAGTGAGGGAATGAGGAGGTGGAGAGGAAAGCAGCAGAACAAAAACGACATTCCCTCTTCCTAATTCAGATGAACATCATTTGGCAAATGCAGATCCTTGCTAGCTAGCATTGCATAGTCGTTGCCTTTCAAAGATTAATTTCCTTAAATCTATCTCAAATTAAAATCAGATCAACAAGCTGGAAGGCTAGCTCTTAATGAATGTCATACCATAAAGCTAATCACATGTGACTTCATTTTGCAGCTGCTTTTGCTTTTGACCATACACCAAAAGTTGTCCTGTGTGAAACCACCGAGGAGCTTTTTTTGCAGTTATTTCATAAAGACATTTCAGTTTAACTTTTTTTTTTAAAAAACCTCTTGTATGATGTTGATAAATTTCTAGTAGAGCTCCTTTTGCATTAACTCAGTTACTGGTCACTGCTAACATGGAGAGGTGAGTGAAGACCTCTGATGTACTGGAAGACTTTTAAAGGGGAATTTACAGTATTTCTCCATTACTGTCAAAACAGCCTACACCATTAATAAGATTAATTTAATTTTTTGCATCTGTTTTGTTGGCTTATGCTATATCTGGAGTGGACTTTACTAAAGCAAACCACTTACATATCGCTCAGTGTTTCACCAGCTGTCTTTGCTTTATAACGCTGCTTATCAGAGCCTCCTGCTTTCATTTCCTTGGTGGTGCCTTTCTGCTTCAGAGGTTTCCATCTGCCTGTGTGTCTCTCCTGGCAATCTTGCTGTTGACAGGACTGTGTGAAATTGCTGGAAGAAGTAATGAACGATACAATTGAGATCAGAATTGACAGGTGCCTTTAACAGAAGTTTGAATGGAAAGTTGCTGCCTATTAGCCAAGGAACAGCACTGTGGTGTTATGACTAGAACAAAAGATTTAGGACTGCAGAGATCTCGGGGATTAGCTATCCTGAAACAGGTCTGAGTTGCTGTGCTAGAGTTGTTGGAGCTGAAATTACACCATAGCACTGTTCCTTTTCCCTTAACTGAAAAAAAATAGAGCTATTTTAAAAATAGGCAGAGAGAGGTAAAATATGTGCTCTTCAAAGTCAGTTAAAAGGTGGAACTTGGGAAACCTACCTGATAGTTTACTCCCAAAGTATGCTTAGGGACCCAGAGATAATTTATGGCAAATTCATGTCTGTGCTCATTGCACTACGTTTACCCTGGACTGAGTGTAGAACAGCGAGTTCCTTGTTTTTGCAGCTGTCATTGTGTTGTTTCCATCTTTCAGTGATGGAAGAAAAAAAAAAAAGAGTATTTGCTGTCACTTTAGGAAAATGCACAAGCCTTTTCTGCTTCATGTACCATGAGAAAAGGTCTGATAAAGGGCATTTGCAGTTGATGAAGAATGAGGTGGAAAAAATGAGCTGGAGTTGCAAATGTCAGGAGGAGTTAATGTGCTGGAAATTTGAGATAACTCATTGTGATCTTAGACACCAAATAAATTTGGTTCCCCGTTAGGATGCTCTCCTTGTGACTTTGGAAATTTGAGGGAAGGTATAATGGAACTTGCAAGAACATTGAAGTTTGTCTGCTGCAAAATCCTGCTTGGAAAGATACATGTGACTAAAGCATGTAGCCTTATGGCGGGTGTAGTGAAGAAAAGCTGACAGGCTTGGGATTGCTGCTTCCCCGTGTGGTGTGGGGTCTTTTTCTTTTCCCTTTTTTTTCTGTAAGCACTAATGCTTTGCAGTTAAGTTTTTGCTATCATTTGGAGCTTCTTTTTTCATGTGTGTCTGATCTTCATCTCTTGGGCTAAGTTGGTTCATCACTTTTACCATTCAGCTAAGCAGTTTCAGCTCTGCTGCTCTTATCACAGATAAGCAGCTGAAAACCAGAAGCCCCAGCGGGAGACAGGAGCGCTGACTGCCACTGTGCAGAGAGGTGCTAGGAACCAGCTTCCCTTTGGCCTTTGCTCAGGCAACAGGATGGTGGCACAGAAGTTTGTAATTAATGTGAGAAAGGAAGTTCATATAAAGCAGTGCTTAAGCTGTTCTGGGAAATAGTAATTGGCTTTATCCAAATATTCCTAAAGAAATTCTAGCTTACAGTAATTAAGAACCTGTTACGGTTACATGTTTTGAAACACAGATGTCTGGATCTTCTGAAATGAGGCATCTCCTGGATTTCAATTGATAAATAACTATTTAAATTATTTTAACAGCTCTCTTCTATATTCAGTACTGTCTTATTATTTTGAGGTGTATAATGTAAGGAGCAGATGATGTATCTAGCATGTGATTATTATTCCTTTTGACCTAATTTTATTTTATTTTTTCTTCCCCAGACAAATGAGGCGAGCTCCGAGTCGATAGCTTCTGGCCCTAAAAGGGACACCATGAGCAACTTCCTACCAGACAGCAGCTGTTACGAGTTGCTCACTATCATAGGTAATACTACTAGTGGGCTGGAGGATTGGAGGTCTGCTTTGCAAAGAAAATAACTTCTGTAGATTTGTTGGTTTTTTTTCTTATTTGCTTATTTTTAACATTAGATGCCTGTCCTCTTTAAAGTCACTGTAATAAAAAATGAGATGTCAATCCTAAAGGTTTTCAACTGAAAGAGGCATGTGGTGGGTTAATGAGACTGAGTGTGAAGTACAAAGTCAGCTGAAGTAGCCTGAAACCTGTCCTTGGTGGGGCTGTGGCCTAATGATTTTATTTCTCCCTCAGTTCTGAACTTGAAAGACAGGATAATATTCCTGGCTAGGAGGATTTCTCTCGATGGGATACATGCCAAGGAGGTGGTACCTGATGGAATGATTACTCTTTTTCACAAGGCCAAAAATAGTTTCAGTAAATGAGTGTAAAGATTATTTGAGGGTCAAGGACTGGAGGAGTTCTCCAGAAGTCTGTGGTTCCAGAAGGATTACTGAAGCTTTAATGCCTTTTCTTTCAGGCAGAGGCTTTGAAGACTTGATGGTTGTGAACCTGGCCAGGTATAAACTCACAGGAGAGTACGTCACAGTCAGAAGAGTGAACTTGGAGGCCTGCACGAATGAAATGGTCACATTCTTGCAGGTAACACAAATCCATGAATACCATAATGCAAGTTTAGGGGAGGACAGACAGTAAGAGCCATGCTTATCATTACTGTATCCATATTTCCCCATTTGCTAAATTGAATCAAAAGATCTTTTATTATTA